GGCAAAGCCGGAGACTCGAGAATATGGTCATCGGAGAACGGGTCGTTGAACGGGCCCTGTGTCTCGACCGCAGTCCGGGCCGGACTGGCATGGAAAACAGGCACACCGGTCTCGTGCAACATCGGTGCACCAACAGCTAATCTCGATAGAGGCGCTTCTCCAAATAAATTCTGTGAGGCTCGGTAATCAATTGATTGATCACTCATCATAGTTGCTCTCGGATCCGTGTAACCGTCACCACCGAACTGCAAGACAGGAGGTAATTTCCGACCAGAGATCTTCGCAAACCCTCTCTCTCCGCCATCAGATGACACCGTACTCCTCGAGAAGCGACTTTGACCAGACAGATTAGCTAGCGCTGCAGGAATAGCAAATGGAATAGACCGGCGCCGTTGGGACATGCCACCATCACCAGCGGGGCCTCCACTTCCTCCAGTCATCGTAGCGCCGTATCCTCTGTCATTTCCCGACCCCTGTATAAGCTTCATGCTAGATTGGCGCTTCTTCCATCTAAGAATAGCCGCCGCAACGAGCAGGATAATCGCAAGCCCAGATATTGCCCCGACCACACTCCCGGCAATGGTCCCTGCTGATACGTCGCCGGAATCTGAACCAGAATCGGTAACGGCGGGCGAGGTAGTAGAGTCACCACCGTTGGCTGTGTCGGTAGGCGACCCTATCCCATTGCCTCCGTTGGTTGGGGTCACGGCGGGCTTGGCAGTACTGGTAGAGTAGGTTACACTGGAAGATGATTCGGACGTCGACGTCCCGGGTACTGACTTTGTAAATAACGACAATGAAGCATGTGATGTTTCACGGCGGGTACTAGTCGCGCCGCCAAAAACCGTGAAGTTGACATCGCCTTCAGCGGTAAATGAATGAAGAGAAGCAGTCGAGTTGCTAAAACCCGAGGATGAAAGAGCTACGCAAGTGTTAGATTGAACGCGCTGGAGTACACGGACTATACGAACTGGAATTGGATAGGCCACTTAGTGAAGGAAAGACTGGGGCCGCAGACAAAGGAGTGGACGTAATCGGCGCATAAGATAATGTGGGAAACGAGGTAGGCATAGAAGATCCCGAAGGTGTCACAGTCGGTTCTTCTAAGGTTGACGAAGAGGAGGACAACGATGGGTCCGCGACACCATTTCTGTCGTCGCTAACACTACTATTTGAAGTGGTGTCTGGAAGGTCGGTGGGCGAGGACTGTTCGGTGGTACCAGCGACAGCGGACTCTGTTTGACTCGCGGTAACTGTAGGTGCAGTCGGGTAATCGTGTGGCAGGGTCTCAATTATAGTCGCACCGGTCAAATCAGTTACTTGAAGAACAGAGACGGTCTCGACAATGACAACGACGTCTGAACTATTCCGCAAATCATCATCCGAAGTATCGCGCCGATCGACTTTCCTGTTTCTCTGGGAACGAACGTGGTGGAGGTGCTGGTGGTTGTGTTGATGCGAAGATTGCCCGCTGCGATGATGAAGATGGTTGTGTCGTCGTGATGGCTGTTCTTGTTGTTCTTGTTGTTCTTGATGTTGCCGACCGAGATCCCGGGCCTGAGGGAGTGAAGACCCAGAAACCTGATCGGTCATCGCGCTGCGTGGCGGTGTCAAAGGGGAATACGAGGTGTCTCTCGATAGATATGTTCAAAAAATCTGGGCGGCGTCTGCTGACTCGCTGGCGAGTGGTATAACGAATGCGCTAGGTTGCCGATCATGCGGGGACTTCCATTATCATTACCACCCTTCTCTCTATTCTCGTCTCGTCTCTGTGTTCACAGTCGCGTCGTCTCTACCTGTGCCTCATCGTTGTTGTCGTCGGCGAGAGTCTGGTACCGGACACCACACCTGGAGGTCGACGGGGATACCTAGAAAGGGAGAAAGCGAAGGGCAAAGGATTCGGCTTGGTCAAGGACTGCGTCTATACTAATACAGTAACATGACACTGCCTGCGCTACAAAGGCAAACCAGGTACGCTATACTACTTCCCTACCTCCCTACACTACACTACACCACACGCTATGCTACGCCGCAATATAGCACCGATTTTAAAATGAGCAAACGCCCCTTGGCCCCTTCCAAACAGTGGGACACAGTCGTGTTCAAGTCTATCCAGGCGTGCAGAACCCGGGTAATAACCAGGAAGGACTAGCGGCTCCCGGGAGACTAGCAGTAGAGTCCTCGAACGGGCCTGGAGTGGTTGCAATTGGCACGCCAAGCCCACGATTGCTCTCTTTGAACTCATCTCGCTTGCTACGAATGTTGACCTGCATCTACACACATATAGTGTATACATCTGGGATGCTCGGTGCAGTGGAGGCGGAAGACAGACGTCCAATCAGACAACAGACCTTGCCCGTTTTATCAATCGGTGCAACTCTTACCAGGACCACCTTGTTTATTCTCTCCGTGTCACTGTCTGTGTGCAATAATGAATAGCGTGTTAATTGCGTGTTGTCTCGCAAGGGTACGTGTATTAAACACATGCCAGTATCTACACTACACTACTACAGTACTACACTGCACATTGAACACAACTTGAAGCCAACAACAGGGTTCATTGGAAGTCCTCCAACTCCCGGTGCTCACCCCCTTTTCCCAGTAGCGTACCTAGTAGTATCATGACGGGAGTTAGATAGTTGTTTGCTCTGCTCGCTCTATCTATCTTACCATAATCGGTATTGAGCTCGACATCAAGATCATGCAGGAACGCCCACAACGGCATAGTAGGGCTTGGCGTGGGGGATAATTGCATGCAGCCGTATACGAGACATCGAGATCTCGTATTTCTCCAGGCAGAAATGACTTGTGAGAGCTAGCCGCGATAACACATCCCAAATCTCGTCAGCCACGTGAACTTGCAGTACACTACGGGAATATTCCATTCGCCTCGTCAACTTGAGACTAAGAAATATCGTGAGTTGGGTATATGTGGGAACTCGCCACGCTAGACGTGTCCACTCTCATCGCCAGGTGTTTTCCCTGGAAGGGATTGATACTGGCCTACGGTACACTAGATACTGGATTCGACGCTGCTTGGACAATAAGTGTAGTGTAGTGTAATGGACAACACTTGCAGACCCCAAAAACATGTGGGCTACCTAGCTTATTTACTCCCGTTGCGCCTAGAGCCTGAGCCATCTCAACTAGGGTTGGTCATCGGCAACATGATCAACAGTTGAAACTAAACTACCGTGAATACATGCCGTTAAGGATTACGCAGTCTACTATGTATAGTCTGTAGGTATTATAGTGTAGGTAATGTACACTATGGCTGGGTATCCCTACACTACTGCATCGAGTGTAGTGTACGTATAGCTAGGTGGGTGCTGCTAGGCCATAAACGCGAGAATTGACATCCCAGACCCTCTATCATCTTGTTTGTTGGATACAAACTAAGTGCAGTAGGTAAACAGGTTTTGAAAACAAAACGGTAACAATTTTATAGGACACCCAGTACACTGGCTAGATTACCAAGGTAACTGCAGATGCTTGGTATGTTGTTTCTGCATGTTTTAACGCTCTACTCTCTAGTACCTAATACCTACCTACCTACATACTTCTGTCGACCTGCTTACCTCTTGCCTACCTACATACCTACCTACTCAGATAAACTTTGCTGGTTATCCGCACTGCAGGTACTTCGTACTACGCAAGCTGATGACGTTGAGGACTGGTGTAGATACCTACCTAGGTAGTTTACAGGTCCATCAATGATATTTCTAGGCTCCTGCGGCTCTCCAAATCTAGGGTGCCGTCTAGGTAGGGTATAAATAGCAAATAACGTATTAGCGTAATTTCGGCTCCTGTGAACACCAGTATTTCGACCATACTCGGCCAAACAGCCCGGACTTGACTATGAGATAACAGTATAGTTATACATAGAATCAGGTAATGGTGGGCGGCGTAGATCTGTACAAATGCAACCAAAAAAACAACTAGACTCAGTCTGGTGTAACTCGCGCGAATACTCTCGGATTTCAGGCAAAGGGTAAGAATGGCAGGTGAGTCGACCATGGTTTTTTGGGTATCATCAGATATCGTAAAGCAACAGCCTCCCCCGGTTCCCATCCACTCAAGACTCAGACCTAAATATGAACACCAATAACTCCGTTTAATACTCAGAATAACAAATTTCATGCGAAAGCCACCCTCTTCTTCTTAGACTTCACATTCGTACCGGCTAAGACAGCGTCCGAGACACCGTCTTTATCATCATCGCCAGATGTTTTATTCCGTTTCCTCTTCTTGCGCAGAGATTCTTTCGTTTCATCGAGCCTAACTTTCTTCTCCGCCTCCTTCTTTTCGGCCTCGACACGGCGTGCCTCACGGATCTCCTCCATCTGTCGCGCCTTGATCATCTTAGACTCGATCTGGCCTTCTTTCTCGGCTTGTACGATGGCGAGGATCGTGCTCATGCTCTCCTAATCCGCAATCGTAAGCTTTCGCGCCAATTCTGCGAGGACCCAGTGAAACCGTATATCAACGCACCTTGTCATCGACAAAAACCTTGCCCTTCTTCTTGCCTTTCGGCTTTGTGACGCCGACGGGCGTGATCATGTTTAACTGTGGAATTCCCAGTTCCTTCTCGGTGTAAATCTTCTTCTTCTTCTTTTTTAGTAGATCGGCCATCGTCCGCCCCTTCACCTGCCTCCCCAAAGGTGCAGTTGTGGGTTTCTGCTTTGACTTCGAGACGCCATCCGAGGAGCCGGACTTGGATGACTTGCTCGAGCTGATTCCGGATTTGTTCGCGGCATGTTTATTCTTAATCGTTCTGGTTCGTTGTGGCGCCATCGTGCATGCAGATGTGTATACACAAGCGTCGGGGCGGAGAAGGTGATTGTTGCCGCGGTGGTTAAGTGATTGAAGCTCTAGAAAATATTTTGGGACCAAGCTCACTTATCGATAACACGGCCGTCGAGGTTGGCAGGCATGTGGGGCTGCAGTGCTCCCCAATTGAAAGCTTGATCCAGGGCCGAGAGCAAGTACGAATTACTAGCGGGGTGGTGGCGCAGTTGGGAGCGCGTTAGACTGAAGTAAACTTTAATCAATCAATCATCTAAAGGTCATCGGTTCAAGCCCGATTCATCCCACTTTTTTTTTCTTTTTTTCTTTTTCTTTTTTTCTTTTTCTTTTTTTCTTTTTCTTTTTTTCTTTTTCTTTTTTTCTTTTTCTTTTTTTCTTTTTCTTTTTTCTTACCTACCAGCCGGCGCATGCCTAGATCTAATCTTTTTACCTCCTAGTAGTGTACAATGACGAGTTCAATGTATCAAGTTTTACTAAATGGTTTAGCCTCCGTACTTGAATCCGTTTCATCTGGTGAAATACGATTTGGCAATGTAACCTGCCCCTCGATCGCTGGTCGATTGACGACGCACCCTCACACGTTCAGACCCTCGCGGTGCAGATAGCCAAGCTTGAAGGGAAGCGGGGTAAATTGCCCGCTGGTCTAAAGGATCTGATTGAAGCATATCAATCACCCGGTGATCCGATTCGGGACTACTTGCTCTTGGATGCTGAAGAGGGAGATGGTAGAAATCTCGCTCGGTTGGTCGAAATTCGCGATCATACGAGGGAATGCGATTTGACGGGCCGTAATTTACATGTATCCATCCCTATGGTAGGTATCTGTCGGCGTAATGCCTGGTCGCCAGTTAGGTATTCCCTTGCCATAGGTCAGACTATCCCGCACCTTCCGCCCTTTCCCTCTCGAGCTCTGCCGTCAGTTTCTCGACTTTCTCACACCGTGGATCACCGGCCACCTGACACCACCCCTTCTCCGTCCACTCCCTTACTCCCTTCTCAGGCGCCTTCCCGTCAAGCAACACGAGCACGGCTTCAATCATGCCCAGAGCTTCATTCCTCGAAAGTCCCGAAGCAAGTCCAAAGTGGAACCGCCTGGCAAGTTCACTTCCACCGGCAAACCCAGCCAGGTCCTCCCGCCCCTTCCGCCTCAGACTCTCTGCTATATAGCTATCATCCGCGCTCAGTCCGGCTAGGGGACTGTACAGCCTGCCCAGGTCGGCGGTGAGTAGGGAAGGGCCGAAGGCCTCGCACGCCGGGACGAAACGCGCAAACTGCCAGTCGATGACGGCAGTGATGTTGTAGTCCTCGTCTACGAGCAGGTGGTCCCCCTTGTCGTCGACGTGCTTAAGGAAAAAGAACCCACCGGCGGACGACTCAGCAGTAGTAGCCGCGGCGGCTAGGGCCGGAGCAGCCCTGTCTCGGAGTAATCTGTGGAAGAGAAACGCCTCCTTGGGGTACTCCGGGTAGAGCTGCCCGTCGGCGATTAGATCCAGGTGGAGGTCCGCGATCGAGGTAAAGTACTCAAGTGGGTCGGCGTAGGGCCCGTGTTTTCCGAGCGACAGGAACCTGTTACTCGCGATAGCGGCCGCTTTGCTATCCTCGCCGTCTGAAAGAAGGGAGCAGGCTTGCCCTCTGGGGACGCGACTGATGTCGATGAGTATGTCGGCGTACTGGTCATAAACGTGCGACTTCTGTGCATCCGTCGCCTCGTGAGCGTAGAAGGGTCGCCCCGGCATAGCATCCTCGAGTATGTAGCCGACCCCGGCCAAGTTGCCGGGGTCAGAAAAAAGCCCGAATCCGTGGACCTTGGGAGCAGGCACGCTGAGGTGCCGCTCCAGGAACTTGAGGGTCGCGTACTCACTCTCGATTAGGTAGTCAACGAGATCCGGGGGAATGTCGCTGAAAGCCGTAGTTCGGGGGATTCGGGCCAGCCACTTAACTCCGTCGTCGAAAACGATCCATGCGTGATAATTCGCGCAGCCCATGGTGGCACCGCTCCCCAGGTGCTGCCCGGGATGGAACTTGCAGGACTTTCCCCTGCGGAGTGAGCTAGCCACGCGGGTAAGTTCGTGGACGTTCACTTGGGCGAGAAGTGCCTCGACTTCATTATTGATGCCCATTTCCCACGTCGCATCATCAACCTTAATCCTCATTAGTGCATGCAAGCTAGGCCATGACGAATAGACGAATAGGAATCATCTCGAGTACGTACGTAGGCAGTGGATGGACATTTGTGATGCTGAGGGAGAATATGGATAGCACATAGATGTCTTATACAGGTTTGGCAGCTTCGGCCACGGATGCTTGGGCGGCCACAAGTTGAGAACGAGCAAGTTGCGAAACGATGAACTTTCGGTGTAGGCACTGCATGAATCGTTGGATTGAGTGACATAGCCCCTCGCGATGCCTCGCAAATGGCGACCAGTCGAGCATCATCTGCCCACTTACTTAGGTTGGCTCGCCGCCATTCTTGCCAGTCGGGCGTGGTGCCGTCGAAAGTAGCCACAAGACCTCGGAAGACGTTAATGGCCTCATCCTGGGTGAGACCCAATCCCATTCCAATACCGAAGAGGAATCGTCGCATCTCATCTGAGTGAAAGTAGCAGTGTGGTGCCCCACGACGCTGCAACTCCCGTCCCAACGCCCTATCTTCTTCACTCAGCCCTGGTTCTCCGGAGAAGAGACTGCTGTTGTTCGCAGACACGAGTGAAGGACCAAAAGCTTCGTATGCGGGGACTGCCCTCGCGAAACTCCAGTCGATAATGCCGGTGATTCGAAAGTCATCATCTACTAGAATGTGGTCTCCTTTGTCGTCCGTGTGTGCTAAGAAGAAAGGCCCTGAGTTAAAGTCCTGCCATTTCTTAAACCAAGTACTTGCCTTGACCTGCTCCGCAAGGAATTTGAACATTAGGTACGCATCGATCGAGTATGGGGAGAAGAGTTGACCATCGGAAATGAGGTTGAGATACGTCTCGGCCCAGGTGCTATAAAAGGCTCTCGCATCTTTAAAGGGGCCTATGCAGGGCAGTGTTCCAGTCCTATCGCTCGCAACGGGGCCTACTTGGATTGCTCCGTCTGCGTCAAAGGTCAAGGATCCAATCTTGTCGAGAGGGTGTTTGCACAAGGTGCAAAGGACGTTGGCCCATTGGTCTAGCACCTGTAACTTTTGTTCCTCTGAGGCCGCCCACGAGTTGAAAGGTTGGCCGGGCAGCTTATCGATCATCATGTAGGCGACACCTACTTCGTTCCGTGGATCGCCGCGCAGCCCGTGCCCGTGAAGTCGCGGTGTCGGCACGTCAACAGACTCTAGCCACCGTAGCGTCGCGCACTCGCTGAGCAAGATCTGGTTGCTGAGTTCGTCGTCGAAAGATGTGTACCGCTCGCGGAGGATTCGGGCTAGCCAGACAGTTCCATCTTCAAAGATAAGCTGAAGATGAACATGCATGCCGCCCATTTGACGACGTCCCAGAAGGTCCTCGTCATCTAGACGGCATGCTAAGCCGCCAGAAAGCTCTGTCGCGCGCCGTAAAAGCGCCGCGTGATTCGTCTTCTGGCTGAGAGCGACTAACTCGGCTGTCTGGGCTGCTAGCCACGCATCGTCATCGAGGGGTTCCTTCTTTTAGTGAGGGTCAGATCAGTCGCTCCACTCACAGATACTGGGCATCTTACTTTACAGGTATGCAACGCGGACGCAATATGTGTGGCACAATACATGGACTCACATCGCTGGCAATCACCAATGTCGATGGCTGCAGCGTTCGGGCATGCCGCAATGGCACAATTCCAAAATCGCACCATGGCTGGCTGGTGCACAGTCAGTGACCGCTTCAACCGTGGCAATGTCTCTAGATATACAATTCTCCACCAAGTTGAGTCCCGTCAACGCTACATGTTCAACAACATACTAAATACCATAAATACCTCGCACTTATAATAAAATACCTATAACATATAAAGTTAAAAGTTATAAAATAAACATTAATATAAAAGAAAAAATACTTATTATTTTTTATGCTTAAAGTACTGCTCTAAAAAATACAAGATATAAATATAAGCTATACCTAATTTAGGTAATATGGATACTTTAGTTAGAGTTGATTGGAAAGGCGGCCAACCTAGGCGGCCTCTCATTTGAGTGGTAGTACATAAGCTCTTAATTATGGTAATGGACATTTGCTGGTTGGTCAATTGTGATCTAGCCTGGGTTCTGACCTGGTTATCAAGACCGATAATCGGAATGCCGACTTAAAACATTGAGTTGGCAGATCCAACAAACTACCAATTTTCGTCTACACTTCATCTTTCCCTCCATCTTTATTCATAACCGCAATGGGGTCCACGGCGAAGCCCCGCTGGGCCGCTCTCGCTCGAGATACCAACGAGACCAAGATCCAACTATCACTGAACCTAGACGGAGGCGCATTCCCGCCCGATACAGATGCGCGGCTCAAGGCTGCAACGGAAGAGGGTCATGCCAGCCAGGCCAGCAAATCACAGACCATCAGTATCAACACAGGCATCGGCTTCCTAGACCATATGCTGCATGCCCTGGCGAAGCACGCTGGCTGGAGTTTGGTGCTGGCGTGCAAGGGTGATCTACATAGTATGTTCCCCCAACTGTCAGCTTCACTTTGAAAGGCTGGTTCTACCTTCATTTACTACACTCTCGTCGCCTCGGCCGCTAAGAGCCCGCAGGACCTTAGGACCTAAAATGCCAGGAAGAGAGAAGAGCGAACCCCGAAAAAAATCCCCAAAAAATCAAGTCAAGTAGGCATGTAATACTAACGAACCCCGCAGTTGACGACCATCACACAGCCGAAGACGTCTGTCTAGCGCTAGGATACGCATTCGCGACCGCGCTGGGATCAGCCTCGGGCCTAGCGCGGTTCGGGTTCGCGTACGCGCCCCTAGACGAGGCCCTCTCGCGGGCCGTCGTCGACCTTTCGAACCGGCCCTTCTGCGTGGCGGACCTCGGCCTCAAGCGCGAGAAGATCGGCGACCTGAGCACGGAGATGCTGCCGCACTGCTTCCAGAGCTTCGCCCAGGCCGCGCGGATCACGCTGCACGTCGACTGCCTCCGGGGCGACAACGACCACCACCGCGCCGAGAGCGCCTTCAAGGCCCTCGCTGTCGCCGTTCGCAACGCGACGGCGCGGGTCCCCGGTAAGGAAGGAGAGGTCCCGAGTACGAAGGGCACGTTAAGTGTATGATAAAATAAGATAAAAATGTTTCCAGCCAGTACAAATACCGAAAAATAGAAATCGCGATATGAAGAAAAAAAAGAAAA